AAAAGGGACAATTTCTAGGCTTGCTGCAAATCGTTTAAAAACTGTTACTAGAATTGAAGCTAATGAAATATCGACTAGCCCATTAAAGTCTGGAACTCGTCTGGAAGTCGCACATGTTCACAGTGTGGACCTGTTGTCTAGTAAAATATATGTGGAAGGTAGCGCGCCCCTTGGGGAACTAGCTCAGTGAGCGAGGCACTCTGTGTCGACAACAGCCAACAATAACCAAATTTCGATAAATTAAAATTCTAACTTGGCTTAGAGGCTTGGGGGTAATAAAAGAAAAGAAATCACATCGAGGTTGAGGGATGAATAATTAGTTTCTTTTGTTTTACTCGCTTAAACCTCGGAGCCAAGTTAGAATTTTAATATATCGAAATTGGTCCATCCAACAATAAGGTTTATTTAAGTGTTTTTACTTTCAACTCTTGCCTTTTCCTTTCTTCTGTTTCATTTTTGGAAGCGATTTGATATTTAACAATGATAGAAGTTTCTAGAAGATTTTATAGACAATTGGATTTATGAAGCTAATCATTTGCCTTTAAGTCTTATTTGCTATAATCTTTCATTTTTCATGTAATTAAGTGTAAACCATCTTGTGACATCTACTTCATAAGCCGACAAAAACAAAAACAAACAAACAAGCAAACTAAAAAAAAAAAAGAAAAATCTGTTGTTTAACCTTATTTTTATTTAACGTACATTACGAAATTGCCGTTATTCTCCTTACTTACACCAGCACCTTTTCTCATTGTGAGCATAATTCAAAGAATTCTTTAATTCTTTCACAGCATAGCTTTGGTACAATTATAACTTTCGTCTTATAATAATAAAACATTGTGAGTGCTGCTACAGTATACATACATACATACAGCGCATGTTAACGCATGTTTACCAACATTACCGTACTGACATTCGCAATTAGCCAATCAGAAGTCGTATCTACTGTCCTGATATCCTACGATATCACGTCACTGAACTGATATGGAGACGATATCATGCTCACTTGGCAAAATTTGGGTACGGCAACTTTTGGCCTTTCCCGAACAGCGGCTGGTAAGCGAACAGCAAGACGCGGGAGTTTTCTAAAAGGAGGTGCGTTTACTGGTATCTGAACATGTTAACATCATTTTGATTTGGTGGAAATTGTATTATCGTCGTTATAAGTCGAAATGAAGCCACGAATCCAGCGAAGTCCAGGTAATAACTTTTTGCATGCCAAAAATCAGACCAGATGAAAGGTGAATTGATGCATGAAGCAGAAAAGTGACCCCGAAGACCCCGAAGACCGTGAAGATCCTGATGATCCTGAAGATCCTGGCAACTCTGAAGACTGTTTGCCCGATGACGTCTCTGGTGCGTTTTACACCGCACATAAGCCGTGAATTTAAGCTTAGTTTCAATTCTTTTGATCCCTCACGCTGATTCACTGTTGAAATGAGGTGATCGATTGGAATGTCCTCAATAAAAAGGTTGCTTGACCATTTTTACTTAAACCATGTGCGGCTTGAGTATAGTAAGCTCACATTGTTCGCTTATGCTCAAATCTGTTGTGCCTTTCAACATACCCGGAATATTGTGATTATTAGTAATTAACTTTTGTTGCCGTTTGAGGATATATAAATA